AAAAGCATGCATATCAATCAAGTAGTACACATGCAAATGTTTGCAAATAGCAAAGCATCACATTTCCCAACTACAAGTCATTATGAGAATGAAATAAATAATCTGATAAAAAAAAGATCAGCTGATGATGAACAGTACCTTAGGAATGAAGTCAATGAGACCTTCAGGAATGAGAATAGCACCATAGTTGTAACCAAGTTCAGCCTGTTTGCAAATGACATCAACCATGTAGTCTGTATGGAAAGGTTTTTATCCAAGTATCTTCAGGACCTGTTACTTGGACTAGGTGGTGATAATGGAAATGTGTGTGCATCAGATATAGGTATGCTGAATTTTTATTTATTTTTTTATTGTTTTGAAGAATCATACCCTCAAACCCATATCCAAGTATGTAACCAATAAGGGTAACATACCCCATACAAACCTTTACCAACCATTTATCTTCAATTAAACATTAGAAAACCTAAAACTCAAAACACAAATAGATACATATACTTGATAACGTACAAAGACAATGTCCTAAAACAATGGAACTGTAGACCTTCAAATTTTTTGGTCACACAAACAACAAAAACTGTCATAGAGATAAGAATAGTTTATAAAATACCTCTTCTCCAATAATAGTAAAATGTTAGGCACACTCCAAAGTAATGTGTGACAAAGTAATGTGTGACGCTGCACGCCCCATGAGCCGCTCATCTACACAGACAGATGAATTGAACAGTGTTACCAACGTAAATAATCACAGGATAGCAAAAGACAGAGAAGCAATGTCTACCCTAACGTATCTTGAAAAGTACACTCAAGTGTTTTTTTGTATGAATGAACACAACTACTCAAAAAGTAGTCAATCACACATGAGACATGCATGAACATTTTCAACAGGTTCATGTTATTTGAAGGCTTTAAGCACTTACAGTGGTAATATTTTCCAGTTGATCGTGCATCAATCATTACATTCCCAATCATTTCAGCATATATCTATAAGAAGATAAGCAACCATGAGTGCCTAACTAACCAGTGAAATATACAGCTAAAGGGTCTCTAAGAACAACTTGCAAAAATGATAGAAAGAAACTATAATTAGAATTATAAAATGCGAACGCAAATATAGCCTTGCCTTGCAAGCAGTATCAAACCCAAAACTTGCAGGAACCTCTTTGCATTTCAAATCACCATCGATAGTTTTTGGGCATCCAATCACTCGAGTTTTCAAATTTTTACCCCTAATGGACAAGTGAAGTAATGAGGTAAACTATATATCAGGCTATCAGCCTATTATATCATTATATGTCAACAATTAAAAATTTCTCTAACTGTACCTGAAGTTTTCAGCAAGGAGGCAAGCATTTGTGTTTGAGTCATCCCCACCAATAACAACAAGCCCATCCAAATCAAGCTTCGCTGCTGTTTCTTCAGCTTGCTTAAACTGAAAATGGTACCCACATAAGTCAGCCACCATTAGTAAAACTAAATAACTAGAATGAAAAACAGAAATAATGTTACCTGCTCAGGAGTTTCAATCTTGTCTCTCCCACTACATATCATATCGAAGCCGCCCTGGTTAGAATAAATAAAGAAACACAATTGTTAGGACTTGGGAACTCTGCTTTAAGGGTCAGCACAAATGTTGTAATGGATAGACGCAAAGCTAAAATCTATCAGCGTGAGACATATGAAAACATAGCTATGCTAATATTGGCCATAACAAACCTGTGATGTAGGTGGCATGACATATTGTCATGCCATGATCTTTTACACTGATTAAATTTTCCTTATCAGCAAGAGTCAAGTTAAGCTGAAGCTATGTTACTATACACTCGCACCAACAGTTTACAAGATGATAATATAGAAATTCCAAAACAATCAAAATCCCCAACAGCAGCGGTTGCTACCAGACACTGGATACTTAAGTATGCACTGCTTAAGGCGTCATTTGGTTTCTTTCGCTAGTTGCTTTTACTTCTTAACATTTGAATTTCTGCAAAAACCAGTGAATGATACCTGATTTCTGTAGGGGTAAATATAATCTGCACTCAATTCCATGTATCTGCACTCAATTCTATGTATTTGCACTTCATTATCCCGGCAGGACCTCCCCTAAAACCATACGAAATGCTACCTTTCGTGCGCTCCTGCAAGTAATCTGTCATTCCAAATAAAGAGATAAATCATTTTACTTCCATTAGCACGTGTTCCAACACTGTCAACTCCGTTTGGCACTAGCATCGCCGAGGGTTGCCCGAACTGATTCGGAAACAGCTTTGCGATCTCATCTGCCAAATATTTCAATTTTAAAAAGAGCGACCATCCATAATAGCCCAAAGCTTTGCATGTAAGATGGAGCATCGACCAATATTCCGAACAAAGCCAGTAATCCATCTTCCTTCACTGTCTAGAATGAGACCACCACCAGCTGCTTCGTTTGTGCTGGAATTAACCGAACCATCAGTATTTATTCTCAATACTCCAACGTCAGGGGGCCTCCATTGTTGCGACGCGCACCTTTGATTGAGCCTGTCGAGGCCAGGACGACCAGGATAGTTACGAAGCAGCTTAGCCCACGCCAGCGTCGAGCGGATAATCTCCTGCGAAGACCAGACTTGTCCCTGAAAAACAAAGCAGTTCCATGTTTCCAAAGTCTCCAAATTGTAATCCTAAAAATGTGCTTCCATCTATAGTCAATCCTGTCAAAAACTGAACTATGAGATAAATTATTTCTAAGCCTATCAACAAGTGGAGAGGAGAAGAAAACATCCCTGTAAGAGTCTGGGACAATGGCCTGCCACACCATTCGAGCAGTGGTGCAGTCACGGAGAACATGAATAATGGTCTCCTCCGCCGTGGCACACACCTGAGAAAGATGGTCCACCGCTATACCTCTCCGGCAACGCTCACTGTTCGTCATTAAACGCTGGTGGAGGACTAACCAAATGAAACTTCTGATCCTTTGAGGACCATCAAAACCCCACGCAATGTTCCATAATGGGTTACGAGCATCCCAACCACTCTTATGAAGCTCGATGGAGGCAGACTTCACGGAACAGGCTCCCGTGCAATCCCAACACCACGTGGCTTGTCCTCACCCGCCTCATCACCGAGGGGAGGGATCGCCGAGATGAGCATGATAACCTCATCGTCCAGGTAATGCCTCAACAACGGAAGATTCCAATTATCATCAACACCCACAAAGTCTCGAACGACAGCATGCAGATTAATATGACAGTTTGGAGTAATGAATTCAATAAGATGATTCGAACCAGGGATCCATGCCTCAGTCCAGGATTTCGTTCTACGCCCATCCCCCAAAGACCAACAGACGTTCTCATGAACAAGGTTCCAAACCCGATATAAGGATCTCAACACGTAGGAGCATCTCGTAGGCTGGATTTGATCAGGCTGGGGGTCCGAAATTTTGTTCTTAGAGCGAAGGACCTGGACCCCAAGAGCAGAAGGATTAGTCACGAGAGAATAGCCAACTTGATCAGGAAAGCCTCATTTTGAACCCACAGAGGCCGAATGCCCAGCCCACCATTAATCTAAGGTTGGCAGCAAGATTTCCTATTAACCAGCGTCATATTCGGGTGATCAGTACCCACCCCAAATAAAGCGACGAACAATTTGCTCGATTTTCTTACAAATACCCCGAGGAATCTCTACTGTTTGCATGAAATAGTTAGGGATATCAAGAAGGGTTGCCTTGGCGAGAGTTACCCGACCAGAATTTTTTTTTTAATATGGGCTTAGAAGTGAAAAAAAATCAGAATTCAACGTGAGTTCTACGTGTAAGTTTAGAAAATGTATTTAATTTGAGAAATAAAATTCAAATTCAAAGAGGATTAACAATATATAATTTATGAAATTTATAAGTAATTTTCAACATATAAGGTTCAAATAGTACTAAAATATATCCGTGGATTTAATTTAAAAATATTTCAAAATTAAAGAATGATCTATGAGATTTGATGTAAAAGGGCATAATTTATGGGTAAAATCAATGGCTACCGTAAATGTGATGTCTTGTTGTGTGTATTATATTGTTGTTGAGTATATTAGAGTGATCAAATTGTGGATATGATTATTAAACATATATTTAATTGATGGTAAATGAATCTATAGTATCCTCGTAGACTTTACGAATGATGCATGCCCTTAAATATGGCGTGTATAGGAGATTTGAGGGTGGTTTCTGGGCCTAAAATGATATTTTTGAGTTTTGATAGTAATATTGTTCTTTAGACACAGATATCATATGAATATGATGTAGAAATTTGGGTAAATTACTCTAAGAGCATTGATACTTTTATTTGAGGTATCGGTATTGTTCATTCAATATCAATATCAAATATTGGCTGCAAATTTAAAAATTCTAATGTGTCAATTTAGTATTGATATTATCTAAAAGTATCAATATCATAAGATTAAGTATCAATATCCCTTGTATAGTATCAATACTGAAGATTGAGAAAAGACTGTTTTATCATTTAAAATACATGAGAATAAGAAATAATTGTATAATAGGATTAATTGAAATTAATAAGGTGTTTTAGCTCATTAATGATTGAAGTGTCATTCAGAGTACACATTATTAAAATATCTTTGTAAGTGCAAAATTTAAAAAATGCTCCTACGAGATCTAAAAGTGATGTTTATGCTAGTATTTCAAAATGGTTGAGCACTCTTGTAGGCTATAAAAGATTGTATTTTATTTGCTATTATCTAATTATATTTTTTAATTCTTTTATTTTTGTTTTTATCTAATTATAACATAAATTAAAAAATAATAAAATAAACACAAATTGAAAAGATATATAATATCAAATTCAACCCTAAAAAAGAAATAAATAAACGAGACAAACAAATATATATTATTCTTATGTGAGATTGAAAAATTATAAAACAAAATAACATAAAAAAATAAAATAAAATATGCAAAAAGAAAGGAAAAACTACCTCAAACATATTTTAGTAAACTAATAATACATTATCAAACACCACCCTCGAATTATTTATCAAAGAACCGATGGAAGAAAGTTCTGCCCATGGCATTAGTGAATATTATCAAGGCTTAATGAGACAAACAAATCCAGGAAAAATAAAAACACTAGTAATATTTAATGCATAGCCTCTCGAATTCGAATCTTCTGGGTTCTTAAATCAATAATCATCTTTAATCCGAAGAAACTCCCAATTTCCAGGCATATTCTTCCTGAGGAAATCAAAAATGCTCTTCGCAGCTGCAATGGAGTACTCATAATACAGAGGGAACTGGAACAATGCGAATATGCAGATGGGAAGGAACGCAGCCGCGTATGTTAAACTTGCAGTCCACTTTTTCTTGAAATGAAGGAGCAGAAGAATCGTGGCCGTGAAAGTAAGCATCGTCGAAGTGACGGAGAAGAATAGAAAAGTGAATCCGAGTGAGAGATTCCGAGGGATTTTTGATTTGAAATCTTTGAATTCGAGTGAAGAAGTGAGGATCGAGAGGAAGATCACCACCGAGGTCAAGGAGCTTGCAAGGCCCGCCACATCCATGACGGTGAAGAACGAGTAGAGAGGCTTTTTGCGGTCGAGGAGAATTGGATCTCCCTTGTCTGCAACATGTGAAAATGTTATGTCAACAATATGTATTAATTATCAATCAACTAATGATTTCATCTAATGAGTTATTTTAACTGAAAATTGAAACATTGAGACTACTTTATCATTATGTCAAAGAGAAATGATGAAAAGGTTTCGATTAGTTACCTTGGTGGAAGCCGCCTGGTGGGGCGAACGCAGCGGCAAAGACGACGGTGGCCACGAGAACAGCAACTGTAGAGCATGATTGAGAGGTGTTCTTCACCCACTCTTGTGCCGATTTAAGTTGCTCCTCGTGCATTTCATTGAACAACTCAGATGCCGTCTTGTTGTCCTTGTTTCGGTGCAGCTCGAAATGCTTAGGAACCAGATTTTTCACATCCTGTAACATGACATAATAACACTGAAGATACCTCCTAACATAAATTTTCGTGCTGCTTTTGGTTAAGGGACAAACTAATTACCTCGCACCATTCCAACTCGTGTTGCAATTTGAGAGCAGGGCTAGGTTTGGTTCCACCCTGATAATATTTGGTGTCAGCAGCATGGTGCAATATGGTGCAACCATTTTTGTCGATCCCTCGAGCCAACCTGTTTTTCTCTTCTCGATACTTAATGTGTTCATACACTTTGTATGAACGATGTAAAGTGACGGTATGCAATATGTTTTGTCCTGATTTGTTGATGTGCTCAACTGCTTGAGGGTATTGCCGGAGTATCTCCTTCACAATCTCAACGATCCCCGTGCTGGCCGCTATAAACAATGGCGTATCGGGTTCCGAACGCCTCTCTTTATCGGTCACCGGACTTTCCATCACCCCTTCTATACCTTCCATTCTTTCCAAGCAAATTGTATCATCCTCTTGTGGTTCATGAGACTCGAACCAAGACAAATCGGTTTGCACCAAAAGCTTCGTCAGTTTAACAGCTGATAAATGCATTTGCTTTTGTTTCCACATCCGATCAAGCATTTTCCATCCTATAAATACAACAACATATGAAAATGACACCACACACATATCAAGAACTACACGAGGATTAGAGATTGTCATGCCCCTCAAATTTTGAGAAACTTACTATTAAATCCCTTACAGTTTTTACAAAATTTTATTTGGTCCCTTTAAAATATTTAAAAAAATCATTTTATTCTCTTAATACTATTAAAATTATATATTACTACATTTTATATGCATTTATAAATTAAATTAAACTAATATTCTTAAAATATAAATTTTATATATACATATTTTTGAATATACACATACAGGCTCAACCGTTTTCTTAGTTTTTTGTTTTCAATAGTTTAATACACATAACAAGCAAAAATAGCAAAATAAAAAGATTCTTGGAATCATGTTTGTAAAGTAAAGATAATTACTTAAATTATGTTCTCCTTTCGCTTTAAATCCCAAAATTATTTTTAGGTCAAATCAAGTTTTTAAACTATTATATTTAATCATTTTAAGTCTATCCATTTTTTATTTAATTTTTTCGGCTAATAACATGTTGACATGTCACAAAAAAATAGATACTTGTTCTGACAAAAAAAATATAGTTAAGGAGCTTAAAGCAAAAAAGAGTCATAATTTAGGAATTTATTTTGACAAAAAATAATTTAAGTACTTAAAGTTGTTATATAATAGTTTAAGAACTTCTTTTGACCCAAAAATAATTTAGGAGCTTAAAGCAAAGAAGAAGATAAGTTTAGGGATTTCTTAGTTTAATCCTAAATATAGTATATGATCTGGGGACAGTTGATCTCTAACCTTTAGCAAGGCGCCTGCCGCACCAATTGAAACCTGTAACATAATGGAATGATATAAAATCTGTCAGAAATTTTGTAAAGAATTAATTAATTGTACAATTCATTCTTAAATCATAATAAAATGATGTAAATTCGATTGATATTATTATTCTCTAAAATATGATCAAATTTAAGGATAGGAAGTTGTATCTAATTTAAGCATTACGGAATAATCTTCCTAAATACCTTTGGAGTGGACCGACTGACTCGGCTCGGCCTGTTCCAAATCTTTGTTTCGCAGAGCTACCGGAAGTTTATCCATGCCATCGCCATAACACGCTTCTCTCGGAATGCCTTTAAACAAACAATATCATTATATGATATATTTATTCATAATATTTTTTTGATTTATTGATTATACATATTTTATAAATACAATTATTTAAACTTAAAACCTCAAAAAAAAAAAAAATCACTAAAGTCACTCAAAAGATATCATTGAACTCAGTAATAAAAGTGTTTTTTATTAGAAGACAAAGAGCTACAATTAATCTCAAAGCAGTATTTAAAAGACGGACTAGCACATATATTTACTAATTTATCTTATAATTAAAGACGTTAATATTGTCTCACTTTATGTGAGTGTAAATCTTGATATTTATCTGAAAAGTATAATCTATATCCTTCATAAAAAAAAATACTTACTATCATAGACGAGCTTCTCGAACATGGTGGGTGAAAAAGAAGAACTCTTAAAAGCAGTGGTCATGCTAGCCAGGAGGTGAAGGCTCGTCTTCCCATTGTTGTCTTTGTAGGTTGCAAGTTTTGGATCCTTTTCCACAAACCAAATAGCAGTGTCTGAAATGCAAAAACACACAATGTTAAAAGGTGTAATTATTGTTTTAGTCCCTCTACAATGTAGATGATATCCTTTACGTACCAAAGTGTTGGCCGACGACTGCAATATGAAGAATGGAGACTCCATCATCTCTGGTGTAATGCTTATGAATATTCCCCACTCGTTCAATCTCTCTCGCCAAATACATCACCATTAGTTTGTTCCCATATTCCGCTGCTCTGAACAACGGGGTCTCCCCCAACTTGTTCCGATCCGCCAGTATCGCCTCCCGTTCGAGCACATCGGTCTCGTGGTTCGACGGTCCATCGCAGAACAACAGCTCGCCGATCAGCAAATCAGCCGCTTTGATGTTGGCAGAGGTGACCACTTCATGGAGAATCGTGTTGCCATAGATGTTCTTCATCTTCAACAGCTCACGTCTCCTCGTGTGGGGCACCAATTTCACCAGCATTTCGAGCATTCCATCGCTCCCTTTGTAGGCCGCAACGTGAAATATGGTGTCCCTACACACGGTGACTCGATCGAACAACGCTCCAGGGTTTTTCTGGTAAATCTTTTTCAAGCCCTGGGCGTCGTTTGCCAGAAGCTTGGCATAAACCTCTTTCATTTCATTCAAATTGTTTAACTTGGATTTGAAGATGTTTATTTCCTTCTCCATTGATGAAACTTTGAGATGAGTTGGGGATTGGCGACTCACCTGGTGGGATTTTATAGCTTGATATTACTTGAACACTAGTAGCTGGAAAAATATACGTGCATGGCATCTTACTTTGCTTGATTATTTGATAAAGCTGAAAACATGAAAAAGGAAAAAAAGATGAAGAAACCGTGAGCATATTATAAAGTTAAAAACATGCAAACTAAGCTTAGGCACCACCATCCTGATGCACAACACATTACACATGGGAGCAAGGATGAATAGGGATCAAGAAGTGTTTTGCATGCAGTTGTACCTTAAATTCTCATATAATTTACGTATTTTTTTTATATTTTCTATTGATTATCTAATTTTGTATTCTCAAATTTTTAATATAATCTCTTAAGTGTGCACTCTCTAACATAAAATCATGCATCGTCTTTTGTATAAGAAATGTTTTAGGTTAGGCTAGACTTTTATTAAGGGATGGACTGAGGAAGGAGTGGATGAGACACACCACTAAATTTTTTAAATTCTAATATATTTTTATATTTTTTTCATATTTTTTATTGAAAATATATTTTCATCCTCTAAAATTTTATAAGTTCATCATCTTTTAAAATTTTATAAATTCATCCCCTAACATAAAATATTATGTTTGTCCCTACTTAAACAACTTTTACTTAAATAACTATACATGATATTAATTTAACTCGAATCCATTTAATTCACTGATATTTTTTCTAGAATTTTTAATCCACTGATATTTAAACATAAGAATAATAATATTTAATCATTAAATGTCATAAAATGTTCTATAGACTATTAGATTCGATTTAAAAATTTATTTAATGAGTGATTATATATCATAAAAAAGAAAGAGATGAGAATAAGGGGTTAAAATCCTTTAAAATTGTCGGCAAGAGAGTAACAAATTTTAGTTATCATAAGGAATTTTCATATTTTTCCAAATACAAGAAACAATTGGGCAAAGTTGATAAAGGAATTTGCTTTTCATTATTCACGTTGAGACCAAAGAAGTGTAATTTAAGAAACTGTGACAAATGGCCAATTCGAAAGGGACGACCGCATAAGCATTATTTTAGAAAAAGTTTTGGGTGTTGAATTTTAACTAACATTGTGGTTAAAGACAAAGACAAATTTTATATTTAACAATGTCTGATTATTTTATATTAATTTACAGTAATTATTGGTTGAAGAGACAAAGGAGCAAGTGTTGGAACAATACGTGCATTCCATGCACGTATTAAAATAATTCATGATAGCCCTAAGTATAAAAATAATTCAAAGCAATTTCATATTAAAATGTTTAGAATTTTATTCCATCCAATGAGGTGTCCGGTGCTTAAAAGATTATCGGTGATTTTAGTCTTTTATCCAATCAAATTCGAAGTGTTCGACTGTGGTTCACGGTGATTTACGATAATTTAATATATTTGACTGTGGTGCTACCACATTCTATCATATCCCAAAATTTAACATCAATTAAATAATAGTTGGAGATATTTATATAGGGAGTAAATTACATGTTTATTACTTAAATTATCAGTTTTAGTCAATTTTAGTACATAAACTTTCAATTTTTTTGAAAACCATACCTAAAGTTTAATTTTTGTTTCACTTTAGTACTCCGCCGTTAAAAACTTTAATTTTTGTTTCATTTTAGTACTCCATTCAAAATTTAACGTTAAGTTTTGAATAAATGGAAAGTTTAGGTATTAAGATGAACCAAAAATGATAGTTTAGGTACTAACCACGTTAAGATTTTAACGGTGAGGTACTAAAATGAAATGAAAACTAAACATTAGGAATGATTTTAAAAAACTGAAAGTTTAGGCACTAAAATAGACAAAAACTAATAGTTTAGTTTAGTTTAGGATATCTAATCTTTCCAATGTGTTCATACAAGTTTGTACCTGGTTCCACATTGATTGCCAACGGCAGAACTAGAGGGGGTCATGCACAACAAAAATTTTAAAAATTATAATTTAGACCCTTTAATTAAAAAAATTAATCTGCCCCCCAAAATTTTAGAAATTTCAATTAAATTTTCAATTTTTTGAATGTTTTTAAGTAAGCCCCTCCCGTAATTTTTAGAAATTCTCATTAAGCCTCTCAAAATTTCAAAAATTTTAGTTAGACCCTATTTTTTGGGGAAAAAACTAAACACTTCAAAAAAAATTAAAAAAATTAATTTAAACCTCTGAATTTTTAAAGTTTTAAGTTGTCCCCCAAAACTCTATCACCAAGTTCTGCCACTATTGATTGCGATCTATGGGGGATGAATTGTCCTCAGATAATAACAATCAACCAACCCAATTTTATAAATGTTAAGGTTATGAACCATGATAAAGTTAAAAAAGAATTAAAGGTAGATATTCAATCGAGTCGAATCAAAGAATCTTAAGTTAATTGAGTTTATATGTCTTATTTTATGATTCAAACTTTATTTAAAAAACTTTAAATCGAGTTATTCATGTTTCTCTTTAAATTTAATTATAGTTATGTAGACAGTGATTTTCGTCCATATATTTATTAATATATATTATTATTATTTAATAATTAAAATATTATTACATGCCATTTACAAAACTCGGGGCCCAATTACAATTAAACTTGAGGCCTAACAGTCAATCCAGTAGGCTGGTTCAAGCCCAACAAAGGAGACCTAAATAGTTAGGGTTTCTAAACCCTATCTTAACTGCCGCTCACCCCTAAGACATTGGATCTTACCTTGATCTAACGATCCAGATGAAAAGTGAGAACTCTGAGGTTTCATCATAACCCTAGGGCTATGCCAATCATTGCCTAGCAGAGGATAAGCTACCGCTGTCAGATGCACTTCTCAGCCACCGCCACATGAGTCGCTGCCGTTGAAGACCACCGGCTAAATCCAGAAGATCTGGGTGCATTTGAAATAGTAGAGAGCTTAGGCCACAGTAGAGAGCTCAGACCACAGTAGAGATGAAAAGAATGAGAGTAGAACCTCCCTAGATGGTGATTCTTGTGATGTGAGTTTAAGGTGTAAGCTCGATGGTTTAAGCTTATAAAAGAAGTTGAGACTAAGATAATGATGTTTAGTAAGAAGCCTAGGGGTTTAAAGACCGTGCCGACCATTAGGGCACATAAGGATTCCTCTAGTTAAGGTTCTATGGAAGAACTATAAAGTTAAGAAAGAAGTTGGATAGCGTATAGGAGTATTAAATTAGAGTTGTGCAACAGAAGTATAGAGGTCGACTTTAGTATAAGGTTTAGTGTTAGCGGTGAGTTGTAAGTGTCATAAGGATTCTTGTACATGTTATAACCTAGTTCTAAAGAGAAAGTTTTAGCCAATGATCAAAAGATAGGGGTTTGAGTTTCTAGCCCTTAGTGTTAGATGTTCTAGTAGTTAAGATCTGTCGTAGATGCCCAATAGAGTTTCAGAGTGAAACATTTCTCTAGGAGAATTTTGAGAACGAAATTTCTTGTAGGAGAAGAGAGTTGTAATGCCCCGAATTTTAGGTCAGTAGTTCGAGTAACCCGGTGAGTTGTAAGTGTCATAAGGATTCTTGTACATGTTATAACCTAGTTCTAAAGAGAAAGTTTTAGCCAATGATCAAAAGATAGGGGTTTGAGTTTCTAGCCCTTAGTGTTAGATGTTCTAGTAGTTAAGATCTGTCGTAGATGCCCAATAGAGTTTCAGAGTGAAACATTTCTCTAGGAGAATTTTGAGAACGAAATTTCTTGTAGGAGAAGAGAGTTGTAATGCCCCGAATTTTAGGTCAGTAGTTCGAGTTAACCCAAAACCTATAAGTTAAGTGAGTTAGACCTCTTTAGATAGTTTGGACCAGTACAAAAAGGGTATTGGGCTTGGGTTGGCCCAATAATTAAAGGAAAGTGGTGTTTTTAAAAGTGAGTTAAAAGGTGAGGGACCAAAAGTTTAGTTTACCCATAATCAGTTTTAAGGTTAAAACCCCCCTTAAGTCACCAGTTTTTCACGTGAACCAAATCCCCAAAAAATATCTTCTACTTTCCTCTTATTTTCTCTCTTTTTATTCCTTCCAAAAACAAGAAAATGTGAGAGCTTTTGAGATTCCAAGCCAAATTAGAGTTAACCAAGGTAAGAGTTTTAATCCTCATTCCTTAAGCTTCAATTCAAGCCCTAAATTTTAGGTTTTGGGCAAGGTTTAAGAAAATAGGGTTTTAGGATTTGAAAGGAATCAAGTGTTTTTAGCTTGTTTTAAGGTAGATTTGAGTTATAAGAGTTGTATTTGAGCTTAATCCAACCTCTAGTTGAGTAGTAATCCATTTTTTCCTTGTTTCATTTAGTTAAAGAGGTAAAAGAGAGTTTCAATGCTAGACATGAAGGAAATGTGACTCTTAGTTGATTTGAAAGAAGTGCTAGTAGCCAAGAAAGCCAGGTAACACACCCAAAACTCCTTTATACTCTTAGTGAGTCATTAGAATTGCAAAATAGCTTGAGAGTTGAGTTTGAGTATTTTAAGAAAATTTCCATGGTATATTTTAGCATTTGGTGTTAATTAACTCATTTAAAGCCCCTTTTATAATCTATTTATCATGTATAAACTTATGTTGGTCAATTAAAAATGTTAGAATGGTTTTGTGGGGGTTTGGAAGTGTTTAAATAGGTAAAATTTTGAAGTTGTAGAAGAGGTTTTGAAACCCCCTATGGTTGGTTTCAAAACCTTTTATCCAGAATGTAATTTTAGGCAAAGGTTTCGAAATCTATACAATAGGTTTCGAAACCGCTACCCAGACCAATATAGTAGGTTTCAAAACCTTTGACTGATTTTGGCTAAATAAGTCTAGAATGGTACACTGATTGCCGTGGACTTATAGTATGCTTTTAATTGGGATAATTTCTAATAAAACAATAAGTGAGAACAAAATAATGCTAATTACAACTAAAAACGAGATAAATTAGAGTGACATAAAACTAGCATTGTTTGATGCTTCAGAAACGATTCTGACACCCGAGTTCCTTTAGAAAAGTTAGCAGAGTCAAAAGTATAGATTCAGTGCGGATATATCCTTAGGAAGTGTGCAAGGCACTTTAAGCTGACTAGCTTGGGTGCA